GGTAAGCAGGTTCCCTCTCCTCGCCTTCCTCTTCCTCCTCGTCGCACCCCTCCCTTCTCTTCCTCCCTCCTCCCTTCTCCTTCCTGCGTCCTCCTCCTTCCTCCTCCGTCCTCCCTTCTCCGTCCTGGCGGCCGTCCTTCTCCCTACGTCGAACTGATCATGCGGATTTTCGCGTGCACAGGAGTCGGAGGTGCAAAACGGAGCGCCTCGCTCGACACATCCCCACGATCTAGCAGCCTGGGGTGCTGAAACCAGCGCCTCGTTTGAAAACGTCCACACATCCGCTTTGAAAGCAGAGGTGGTAAAGCAAGCACCTCGGTTGGGACATCCTCACGATCTGCTCTGAAAGCAGAGGGGTCTGGGCCACGAAGCAAGCAAACCGTCTGAGACATCCCCACAATCTGGCCGCGTACGGGCGAGTGTAATACTCCCTGGCGCCCCCTCTCCTTCGGGTGTGCTGAAACAAGCGCCTAGCTCAGGAGAGTGAGTCTGAGTGTGGGTGCGTCTTAGTCTTAGTATGAGTGATATGGGTGTGATCTGAGTCTTCTGACTGAGTGAGTCTGAGTCTGAGTGAGTCTGAGTGTTCGTGAATCTGAGCATGAGCGGTCTCAGCGTGAGTGAGTCTGAGTATGAGTGATCCGGGTGTAATGAGAGGGAGGAAGGAGGCGGGAATGAGGAGGCGAGGTGGGAGTAAGGAGGCGGAGACGTCCCAATAAAAACAGGGCGTGGGGAAAAAGAGCGGTGCATCGCCTGAGACTTTCAAGGTCATATTCCGAGCGTTTGATGCCCACAATAGCTACCCTCATGGACATTGGGTCGGTTTCAACATATATTGCCATCGCCTGAGACGGTTTTGTGATGCAAGGTTTTACGGTCTGACGTTTCCCAAGAGCTACAAGGATCAGTAGGTTGATGGAGAACGCTCCTTCCTCAGCATCGATTTGTAGCCTAACATGCTTTTACATCGTGATGGGAAATACGTTTCCAGACACTTGCATTAGTGAGGTTGTTTTTTGGGGGAAATCGTGTCTTGGTTCGAGACGTTCCAACCTGTCCATGCTCTACAGGTGAAGTCCCAAACAACTTCACGGATGGAGGACGGCTCTTTTTGGATATCGCGTTCTCGCCCTGGATTCCCCTTCAGTGAATGATATTGCCTTGTAGCTTTACATTCGCAACGACCACGTACGGGGGTGGACGATGGCTCCTGACAACAGCGTGGTGTCGCGACGGCGCTGCACACATTCTCGCAAAGCTGATGCTGGCTACATGGATCGAGTCCGCTTCCTCCTCGATCTCGCTGCACGTCGTCACACGCCGCGGTCGACGGGTCAAGCCGACTGGCCTCTCTCGGAGCTCCTCCCCTCCTGGCCTCCAGCCTTCCTGGGTTCCGAGCCGCTGGGGGGCGAGGAACATCACCACTCCGCTCCCCCCCAGCTGCTTGAGCCTGTGGCCAGCCCATGGGGCCCTCGTCCGTCCAGCTGGCGTTCGTCGCCGTGGTTGGCATGAACACTCGTGGTGTGCTGGGGCTGCTCCTGTCGTCCCCTTGTTCCTCCCTCGCTTCTCCCGGCTTCGTCCACGCTTCCCCGCTCCCCCTCCTCCGCGCTCCTCATCCTTCCACTCTCTTCCCCTCCCCGATCCTCCTCTTCCCTTCCTCCTTCCGATCGAGCCCCGTGCCCTCGTCCCGCTCGCCCCCCTGGCGAGCCACTCGGCTCCGGAGTGGTGTGATGCCTGGCCTCTCTCCACGCCTCCCGTTCGGCCCTGACGCCGTCGCGCCTCTCAGCTGGTATAGCGGAGACCAGGACGGCGACTAGCAGACGTTGCGGTGGATAGGAGGAGGAGGAGGAGCAGGAGGAGGAGGATAATTAGAAAGTGGAGGAGAAGGAGGAGGAGAAGGAGGAAGAGGAGGATGAGGATAGCCCAGATTTGCCTGGACGCATGCAAGGTCCAGGGCCGCCTCATTTCAGCCCGCGGTCGATCGACCCCTTCATGCCCTCACTGCGCTCAGCAGCCTCGGCGTATCTTTCTCATGATGTTCTCTTCTCCCTTGTGCAGGACGCGTCGATCGCGTTTGCATCCCTTGGGCAAACTGTGGCTCTTAGCGCCTTTCATCTCTTCGCAGCAGCAGCGCTTGCAAGTGTCCGTCTCCTATCTCTTCGCAGCATCAGCGCTTGCAGGTGTCCACGTCCCCACGCTGGACCCTGCGCCCACCTGGACGCTGGACGGTCTGGCGCTCGGTCGCAGGGGTCACCCTCGGAAGTGCTGTCGCGATCGGGGATGCGGGATCACGATATTCTTGGTCTTGTCATGGGATCTTGTGGTACTTCCCCTTGTGCACTCAACATGTCCTCTGTCCACACCCGCTGGGGTGGAGCAAGGCTCGTGGACATGCCGCGGGGGCTCAGCCACTGTGTTGATGCTGAGCTACACTGTTAATTCCTGGCTCTCCTGGGACTTCGTGTTCTTGCTCGCTAGAGCATTTGTCACGTGTGCGGAGCGGCACTGTCAATGCCACGCTTTCCTGTGGCCTTGCCGTTTTCCTGTTCTGACCGCACACCGCTTGAGGCGGCGGAGAGCTTGAGACATCCATCCTGCAAATGCATGACTGCTGGCCTTTGATGATGCGTGTCCCCTTCTCGCTTCTTATTGAGAATTGCAGTGTCTGTCCCTCGATGGTCTCCCCAGAGAGCAGGACGTAGATAAGCACTTCCAGCTCCAGTGGGATGTGTGATGGCAGCGGCAGCAGCATACACAGACAGGCCATGGCAGCAATAGCAATATCCCGAGGGAGGGAACCCGATGACCATGACCAAGATGTCGCGGGATGTTGTCGACGCCGACCTTGGTTTTGGTCAATGCTGGTCGTCGCCGATTCGCGAGGACGATCCCTAAGTAGAAGATGGCTACGACGGACAATGACCAAGGTCGACACCGATGGCTCTGCATTCAGTCTTGGTCATGGGTCCTTGCTGTCTTTCCTTCCGACAGCATTGTAGCCTGACGCTAACAATGTAGCCTGATAGCATTGGCCACCACGTCGACGGTGTGAGGTTCTCTTCGTGCAGGTGGCTGCATTCCACGTTTGTAACGCCTTATAATGATTCGTATGTGGATTATCGTTAGTCGTAGCGGTAGGAACCTGGCACAGATGGCACAACGTGATACGATGGAAATAGTGAAAGCAAGTTTGACAGGACTGTTCATGGATCCGAGGTCACTCAGCAGTGACGCATACTGCCTGGTGCGAAGGTTTCGGGAGATCGGCGTTGCATGCGACGTGAGATTACCGGATTGTCCTCATCGAATACGGAGTACCTGCAATCTGAGAGTACGAGATAACGCCTACGGCGCGCCACCTCCGCCCCTGCCCTTGCGACACCGACCGACACCCGTGGCTGAATACACACACATTTGCGTATGCATATATTTGTATATGTGCAATATGAATTCGCTCTCTTGGGCACTCGCTCGCTCGTCTGTTAAAAATCCAAGAATTCATATTCCCGGAAGTGTTGTCGGGACGGCTGGGGGTGCACATGGGTCAAGAGTGTTGGTCCGTCTTGGGACTGTCTTGGTGATTTTGCCGTCTTGGGGCTCTTGGGCCATCTTCGGGCTCTCTTTGGCCGTCTTGGGGTCATGTTGGGACTATTTTGGGATTATGGTGGGAAATCTCGGAGCGAGCCTGTTGGCCTCTTAGGGCGTTGGGGACGCCCCGAAGACTGCAACGACGAGGGCGCTGGCTTCCCTGCAACACACATCTCTCACACGCCAGCTTTTATTCTTTTTGGCCGCTCTCAGGGCGTCTTGGAGGAGGAGGAGGAGGAGGAGGAGGAGGAGGAGGGGGAGGAGGGGGAGGAGGAGGAAGAGGGGGAGGAGGAGGGGGAGGCGAGCTCTGCTCCGTCAGCAGTCTGCCCGTGAGAGTTTTACGCCTTGCTTCGAACGCCCGGCGAGGGCGCCCGGGGGCCCCCGAAGGCGGTGGCCCATCGTGGCCCCCCCATCGAGGTCCCCCCCCGTGGTCCCCAACCGAGGCCCCACCTCGCGGCCCCCCATCGAGGCCCCCCATTTGATGTCAGATGGGGCGCGAGCACACCTTGGTTGTCCCTCCCCCCTCTCCGCCTTCCTCTTCCCTCCTCCGCCCTCCTCCCTCCTCCCTCCTCCCTCCTCCCTCCTCCCTCCTTCTCTCTCACCTGGTCCCTCGCTCGGGGAACTGGAATCCTCTTGTGTAGCTGGCCTCAGGATGATCGGCAGCCATCCTCCCTTGAGGAGGGGGGGGGGCGATCGGGGGGGGGGGGGCGGCCATGGCTGCCCCCTTGCTGTGCTGGGTTCCCCCGTCCAGCACGGGGCCCCCAGGGCCCCATCCCCCGCTCGCTGCCCAGTGCCGGGTCGGGCGGCGGGCCGGTCGAGTGCGGTCTGCGCTCAACCTGCCCCTTCGGGCGGGCACCGGGGAGCCTTGACGCGCTGCGCATGGCAAGGCAGAGTTGTGGAAACAGTTCCTGTGGTGTCACGTCGACGACTTCGGGGTGGTCCTTGCGATCTCTCAGGGAGCGCAGTCCAGTGTGGTTCTTCTCATCGTATCTCCCTGCAGTGTGGCGCACAGCGTCCCACTGTCTGCGTAGCCCACAGGGCCTTCCAGGGTCTCCGCTCCTGCCTGGCGGGGTCTCCCCCCGCCGACCTTCTTCCCCCGACCAGGAGGCAGCCTTTCCAGTTCTGTCGCGAGCTCTCCATGGTCAAGCGTTTGCTGACCACGACCATCACGTCCAAGGCACCCTGGGCCCAGCGAGGGCCCGCGGATGCCGGAAACGTTTGGAAGCCTCCCGTCGTGTTTTTCACGGCGCGAGCATGTCTGGGATCGGGCCCCACATCGAGCGGCGACGACGACGACGACGACGACGACGACGACGACGACGACGACGACGACGACGACGACGACGACGACGACGACGACGACGACGACGACATCGCCGATGCACCAGCGATGCGGCGCCCGGCACAGCCCCGAGGCGTGCCCTCCCCGCCGCCGGCGCTGCCCGACTCGCCCTCCCCGGCCGCCTTGCGCCCGGCCGCCCAGCGCCCCGGCCGCCCCGCGCTGGCGCGGGCGGCGCGGAGGGAGCCGGAGGTGCAGGCGGCGGGGGCGTCCGGAGCGCCCACGGGACTCTTCGAGTCATGAGACGATCACGGCGGAAGGTTCTTCCCGCTTTTCGGCCTCCGGGGGCCGTTGTTAGGTCTCGGGGCTGTTGAAAAGGTGCTCAGGATGAGAAGCTGTACCCGGGGAATGGGCCGAGACCTCTGAGGGCCGATGTTAGTTACGAGTCATGACGTCGGGGATCTGGGTCTTCAGAAATTCAACAATCAAGGCCCTGAGATCCTGTTGTCTTAATTTTTCGAGGCGGGTGTTTTCGCATAATTTCGGGCCCCAGGGCCCTCCCATACTGGTCCAGCGCGGAAAATGCAGCAGAACATTTCTTTCGCGCCGTCGGGTCTTAGGGAAGGAGGAGGGAGAGGGAGAGGATGAGGATGAGGATGAGGATGAGGATGATGATGATGATGATGATGATGATGATGATGATGATGATGATGATGATGATGATGATGATGATGAGGATGAGGATGAGGATGATGATGATGATGATGAATATGATGATGATTATGATGATGATGACGATGATGATGATGATGATGCTGATGTTGTTGATCATGGTAATGATGATGAGGGTGAGGATGAGGATGAGGATGATGATGCTGATGCTGATGCTGATGCTGATGCTGATGCTGATGCTGATCATGATGATGATGATGAGGATGAGGATGAGGATGATGATGAGGATGAGGATGAGGATGAGGATGAGGATGATGATGATGACGATGATGATGATGCTGATGATGACGCTGATGATGATGATGATGATGATGATGGTGATGATGATGATGATGATGATGATGATGATGATGATGTGATGATGATGATGATGATGCGATGATGATGATGATGATGATGATGATGATGATGATGATGATGATGATGATGATGATGATGATGATGATGATGCTGATGATGATGATGATGATGATGATGATGATGATGATGATGATGATGATGATGATGATGATGATGATGATGATGATGATCATGCTGCAGCTGCTGCTGCTGCTGCTGCTGATGATAATGAGGAGGAGGAGGAGGAGGAGGAGGAGGAGGGAGGAGGAGGAGGAGGAGGAGGAGGAGGAGGAGGAGGAGGAGGAGGAGGAGGGGGAGGATGAGGAGGAGGAAGAGGCACTTATTTGTCGTTGCTACTTTCGGCCTCTGGGGGCCTTCGCCAGGCCCTGGGACCCGTGAAAGAGCGACGCCGAATGCAGAGCCGTCCATGAGGAGAGGCTCTGGAGTACTGGGGGTCCCGTATTGTACAGTCGACCCGCGTAGTAAGGATAGGCAGCCCTCACAAGGGTACCCTTGCATCCTTGCCTCCTGGGTCCATCCTTGGACACGTTCGTTGGCCGAGCCCCACTCGAACCGCTTTGAAATGGGCAGCCAAGGCCCTTGCATCCTTATCGCGCATCCTTACTATCCGGGTTGACTGTATTGACACGTCTTGATGTTTGGACACCGTTCGGAACATTTTTGCTCAGCGTGCCGCGCCGCCAGAGTTGGCCCACCACGCCTCGGCGAGGCATGGGGACCACGTCGAGGTCCCAGGCGTCAGCGTCCGAGCCTTGCGGGGTTTCTCGCCCCGCCCCGCGGGGCGGAGCGACGCGCGATCCGCGCGCAGGGCACGACGTGTCGCCGGGGCCGCCGCCGCGACACGCTCAAGCAACGGCTCCTGACCGTAGCTCGTTGGTTCTGGGAGGTTCTGTCGCCTCGGGAGTCTTGCCAGCAGCTTCTGATGCCACGGCAGTGGTAGACCTGGGCCCCGGGGTGAACTTCGACGTCCGATCGCCCACCCATCGCGGGTCGAGTTCATGGGCCCCCCACCCTACCCAGAAAGGCGCGGTCTCACCAGCGGGGGCCCACCGCTGATCTGTCGGCGATGCATCGCCGCTTCTGGGTTACTGTTGCCCACCCCGGGCCAGTCACCTGCCCCCTTCGTTCCCCCTCACAGCTGCGACTCGTCGAGAGCGCTCCCGGACATCCACAGGTAGGATGTTTTCTCGATCCGCGGCCCCAGAAGCCACGGCCCCGTCCCTGTGGGTGGCTTTCGCACCGGATCCGCTTTTTGATGGCCATGTCGTCAGAGCGCTGGAATTCGGTAGCTCTGGGCGACCCCAAAGGGGGTCCAGCTGCAAGGGGGTGGTGCAATAGATTTGGGGCAATTGTATTGCAAACGTATTGCGCTGGAGAATTGTATTGCATTGTATTGCAACTAATGTAGTGCACGCGAAAATCCAGCGATACATTTGCGCCCCGGAATGTATTGCACGCCCCAAATGTATTGAAACCCCACAAATCTATTGCACCAAATCTATTGCACCACCCCCTTGTCGCTGGACCCCCTTTTGGGTCAACCCGCGTAGTTTTCGGGCCATAACTCGGCTCTCTGGCTGTCCTCTGGGACGATCCGCACACCCCCGGAACGCTCTCGGAGAGGCGCAGCCGCAGGATGCTGGAAGACATCCCGAGTGCGGAAGACCGCCAAGAAAAAAACGAAAACGTAGGATTAAGTCGGGCGTGTCACCCTACAGGGGGATTTTCGACGATAAATAAAACATACTACAACGATAACCAAACATTGCCAACAAAATACTCCAAAACTAGTCCCCAGACTATTTTTTAAAACTCTTTTTGAATAGTCCTCCCGTAGAGGGACGGGCCCGACTTAAACGCAGGAGCACCTCGAGCCTCGAATCTGGGTCGGGGGCTGCCCAGATCCTCCCCGCGCGGCCGCTGGCGGCCCAGCCTGCTATGGCCCGGGAGCCGACCTCGTCGCGTCGACGGAGGGAGTCGGGGCGGAGGGGGGCGGCTGGCCGTCGGCCTCGTCGGGGGGCCCCTGCGGGGCTCCAGGCCCGTGGAAGGAACCGCGCGGGACAAGAAGCGGAACCTCCAGGCCTCCCAGATGGGGTGAAGTCGGGCCCGTCCCTCTACCGGAGGAATATGCAAAACTTGTAACAAAAATAGCCTGGGGACTGTTTTTGGAGTATTTTGTTCACCATGTTGGAGCATTTTTCTGATAGTTTTAAGTTTTCGTCGAAAATCTCCCTGTAGGGGGACACACCCGACTTAACAAAAAGCTGGTCCTCCAGGCCTCCCAGATGGGGTCTGAGCAGATGGGGTCGGAGGGTCGCGCCGCATCGCCGGTGCATCGGCGATGCGGCTCGATGTGGAGCCTGATTTTCTATGCGCTGGCGTCGCCGATGCATCGCCAGCGTCGCCGATGCTCGGGGACTCGGCGCGATCCTCCGACCCTGTCTACTCGGACCCCATCTGGTAGGCCTCCATGGCTCCCAGGGAAGAGTCCCTCGCGTCGTGGGACTGAGCCGTTTGGCAGTTCTCCCAAATTGTGCTTGCACTTGTTCAAGAGCTTACGCCATTCCGCCGACCCCCAGAATAGAGGAGTCCACGGGTGAGACATTTTGGGGCTTCTTGGGGGACCTCTGGGGGCCGCCTTTGTGCCTCTTGTGGGCCTCTTCGGGCCTGTTGAGTGTTTCATGTAGCGAGGCAGGAGCACATCACCAGGGACCAACGAAAACGCCATTTGAAGAAGGGGGTATGATGGTGTGGAATTACTGCGCAGAGAAAGGATTCACGGCGAGATCGTGGGAGGTGTGTGGAATGCTTGGGCCCATGTGGCAAGAGGCTATCTCTGAGTGTTTCTCCTGGCTGAGCGCGGCAGCAATTTGGCTTTTACCGCTCTGCAGGGAAAGTTGCAGTGCACCGAATGTCGCACTCTGTGAAGCGGAGGTGGACGCGATGCAGTTTGATCGCTCGAAACTGAGGCAGCACGTAGTAAGGAGAATGGGTCAGTGTGTTTCTATGCCGGTTGCGGACCTGCTGGACAGTGTCCAAGAGAAGGAGGAACCCGTGGAGTTGCGTGGGGCAGCAAGAGGAAGAGGGCGAGGAGGAGGGTGAGGAGGAGGAGGAGGAGGAGGCGGAGGAAGAGGAGGAGGAGGAGTAGGAGGAGGAGGAGGAGGAGGAGGAGGAGGAGGAGGAGGAGGAGGAGGCAAGAGGAGGGTTGGACGAGGAGCATGCGCAGAAGCCCCATGGGGCACGCGCCAAGTCCAAGAAGATTTGAGAGCTACTGGTCCAGGCCCCTTAAAAAAAACCTCAGGGTTGAGGACACTGCACTTCGTACCACAGGGGCACGGTGGTGGATACGATTATGTGTGTATGTATATATATACATACATACACTGGTGTGTATATATATTTGTATATATGTAGGTCTATAAATAGGTGGCGATGTGTATATATAGGTGCAGATCTACATATACACTTACACACATGTATACGCACACGGGTGCCAGCCGAAATTTCATCCGCTTTCAATCATGTTGAGATGCTGCAGTCGGCGTTTCGGGGGAAGGCGCTGATTTCGGCGAGAGTTGGTCCCCCAGAAGAGTCCCCCAAACCCTCGCGTTCCCTGGCCCTGCCCCCTGCGAAGAGCTCCGATGTCGAGAATCTATGCCCGCGCGCATGAGGTGGGGGGCGTTCGTTACGGAATGTGCCCAGGCGGTTTCAGATCGTGAAGGGTTCTTCATCTGATGAGGGCGGAGATGAGATCCGTGGCCAAGCCACATCTGGCGTTCCGCCGTCTTTCAGACCTTGGATTCCTGATCGAAGGGTTCCTTATCCACTGGCTTCCTGAACATGTCGGCTCAAGCGGTGGCACGGCCGCACGCCGCCCCCCCTCGCCTCGGCCTGGCGGCGTGGCGCGGCCCCGAGGGGCATGCGGGCCTCCGAGCGCCGCGGCCTCCCTCGTGGAGGCTGCAGGTCGTGGGGCAGCTCTTGGTGGAGCGCCGCGGCGCACTGTGTCGGCGGTGGCTCGACCCGCCGTCTCGGCCGCGCTGTTCAAGCAGGCCGATCAGTCCGACGATGGCGCGGCTGGTGCTCGACACGCAGAAGGTGGAGATCTTCCTGGTGGTGGGGGCGCGGTGGCCGCCGACCCCGCGGCTCGCGCCGCGAAGCGTCGGCGTCGCCGCCAGCGCCGCGCGGCGCGGCGTGCGGCTGGCTGGCGGCGCGCCTGCCGTCACCGCGGGCGCGGGTGCGGGCCCTGGGGCTGCTGGCGCGGGCCTCGCGCTGGTGCAGGTGGCCGCGGCGGCTGCCGACCCCGCTGACGACGAGATGATCGACTCCGACGACCCGCTGAACGACGCTGGGGCCGACCACGCCCCTCTCCGGCGGAGGCTGCCGCGCGGCGGCCGAGTGGTTGCGGTCACCCCAGCTGCTGCTGCCCCTCTGGCGCTCGGCGCGCCCGCGGCGGAGGCGACGGCCGTGGGGGGAGCTCCGAGGCGGCTGCGGCGGGGTTGGCTCTGGCGCCCATGGCGCCCGCGGCTGGCGGCGCCGCGGCTGGCGGCTCGGTCCCTCCTGACAGCGACGGGGGGCCTGGTGACGCGGCGGTGGTACCGCTGGCCGCCACGGCCTCGGCTGCGGCGGGTCGGCGGCGGCCTGGGCCCTGTTACGTGCTGGCGAGCATGATGTCCGACGTTCAGGTCGCGCCCGGTGTCTTCGAGGGGGTCGACCCGGTGGCGGGGCTCCTGAGCCTGGTGGAGATCGGCCTGGGGCGCCAGGAGGCTATTGCGCGGGACAATCGGGCGCGGTCGCAGGCCGTTCGTGAGCTGCGTAGGGACGGCCCCGACCTGCTGCGTCGCACGCCCGTGCCCGGGTCGGACGTGCAGGGACCCTGGGAACAGTGGTGGCGCCTGCTCAACCAGCTCGGGGCGGACCGCGTCGAACGCAGCGTTTGGGTGTGCTGCCGTCGCGAGGCCCTGCGCTGGCGAGCGCCGCTGCGCCCCGACGGCAACCCCGAGCCGTGCCACGTGCCGCTGCTGCCGTTGCTGGGCGCCGCCGAGGGCGATGTCTGGAAGCCGGGCGAGATGAGCGAGGCGACGCGGCGCGCGCGGTATGCCGAGGCGGCGCAGGCGGAGGGTGCCGCTGGCGCTGCGGTGCACGGCAGCGTGCTCCTTCGCATGGTCTCGGATTTCCGCTGCGCGAAGTGCCAGCGGGATTTCGTTCGCGAGCGTACTGGGAGTAATGGCCTCTGCGACGGGGACATCGCTGCGTGGTTGAAGAGGCAAGAGGCTGCAGTTCGCGCCGCAGAACCCAAGGGGGCCCGTGGCGCGTGCGGCGATGGAAGCGGAGCGCGCCCGCGCACGGCAGCGCGCGGCCGCGTCCCGGTGCGCGGCGGCGACGGGGGAGGAGGATTTCCCCGTCTGCTGCGCCAGCCGTCTGCTGCGCCAGCCGTCCTCCGACAAGGACATCTGTGCCGAGCAGGTGGGCCGCGTGCAGCGTGGTGCCCTGGAGCCCTGATATCAGCGCACGGGGCCAGACGGGAGCAGGCTGGCGCCGTGGCCGCGCGGGTTCGGCATTGCAAGATCTGGGGATGCCGGTGGCGCGTGGTTCCCCGAGGCCTCCGTCGTGGGCTTCCGCGCCTCGGAGGCCTGAGGGCGGCCGCTTCGCGTAAGCAGCCATTTTGGCTCGCGTACAGTGTAAGCCATAAGGTCGCTTACCTGGTGGTGCTTAGGTAAACCGCACTGCACCATGGGGTCTGTGGTGCGCGTGCTTGGCGTCGGCTCCGGGCGAGGGCTCGGGGGCCCTGCCGTAGACCTGGTAGTGTGAAGGTTAACCACCTTCGTAGTAAGGCGCAAGCCGTCAGGTCTGGCTTTTGACCCCTGGCCCACTGGGCTGCGCTGGGGCCGAGGACAGTGTCTTTGGTCTTCTGTGGGTCCCTCCTTCGATTTCAGTACGAGCAAGCCGTCTGGCCCGCGGTGGCAAAAATGCCTTCCTGATCGAAGGTCGAACGCGCCTCGCCGCCGCCTTTGACCTGGAGGCCAGGCTCGGGGCGCTCTGAGGTGCGCGCGCCTGGGTGGTTGAGCGAGTGTCCAATTGCTAGCAAGCCAGCAAGCCTTTGGCCAGAGGTGGTAAAACATGCCGTCGCCGTATACATGTACCCACAGCATTCGGTCTCTCTCTCTCTCTCTCTCTCTCTTGCTCTGTCTCTCTTCCCAGAGACAGCTTCACCCTTGTCAACTTCAGCCCTCCCAGCGGCACCGTAACAGTTATTCTTTTTTTTGGGGGGAAGCCCGCCAGGAGTTGCCATTTGACGGCCTCCTTCTGGCTTTGCACGACTGCCCGCGTTGGGAAGGGTTGCGTTCGCCAGGTCGCTGGCCAAAAAGCCCATCAATGGAGTCATTGTTGGGGGGCGCTGACTCTCCTGGCAGGTGGCTTTGAACCTGGACCGCTTCTTCGGGGACGACGGCGTGTGGGAGCGCGTGGTCGAGGCGGCGTCCCTCCCCGCACCAGGCAGGGACGGCACAGGCTGGCAACGCTGTACGAAGTCGCGCCCCACTGGCGAGGATTGGGTACCTTCCCCCACCTCCTCGCGTTGCGAGGGCGAGCGCGGCTAGAGTTTTCTTGCTATTCTCGGCCTCCGGGGCCCCGGGGCCATGGAAAAACGACTTAGGACGAAGAGCCGGGATTTGGGGATCCACGTTGAAAGGACAATTCGACGTCGCAGGTTTGGGGAACGTACCTTTCCTTGAGGCCCGCCGAGGGGCGAAGTGAGAGGGGGCAGGCCTTTTGGGAAGGCGGCGAGGCTTCTCAGAAACCCTCTGGCCTTCCGGGAAGCCTTCTATGGCTTCGTAGGTGACGTAGAAGACTTAGGCTTAGAAGGCAGTTCAGAAGGCCGGAAGCCTTCTGAGCCTTCTGGTTCTGCCCGCCGAGTCTGATTTTCCCTTGAGCGCGCAGCCGAGGATAGGGCGACATTCTGGGCAAGACGATGGACCCACCAGCCGATCATTCAGAATTGCTCCGATCATCACGAGCCCTTTCCACGCTTACCATGCCCAGCGTTTCTTCTGCAACCTCATGGAAGTCGATCCCCCTCCCCACGGGGCAATTGTATTACAGCCCCGCCGGACCAACCCCCAAAATGGGGGTTAGGCCCCGCGAAACCAGAATGGAACAGCAAATGCCCCAATGTAGGGGGAAATCGTTCAAAGGGACCAACGCCGTGCCTGTGGGGATGGGGATAGGTTGATCGATGCTCAGGAAACTAGGCTGGCATCTAGCCCCCCCCCGCACATGTGCGAGGATTTACCAGCAGGGCTGGCTCAGCTCTTTAGAGATCACGCCAAAGAGCACGACGCGAGGCTGTCTGATTTGTTCCCCCCCTGAGCTGGTCCCTTCCTGCCAGCTCACCTCACCTCTGGTGCGCCCTCCCTATCTTTGTGGTGAGGCGACTGAGGAAGCCGCCGCACCGCCCCCCGATTCTCTCCACCCCAAGCCGGCCAGGTGGCCAGCGGCGCGGGCATCGCGGACTACCACCCGTCCTGCGGTCCGCGCGGTCGTCGCTCGTTGTGGCCGTCGTCGTCGTAAGACGTCGTCGCCGTCGTTGTGGCCGTCTTCGTGGCCGCCGTCATCGTCGTCGTCGTCGTGGCGTCGTCGTCGTCGTCGTCGTCGTCATCGTCGTCATCGTCGTCGTCGTCGTCATCGTCGTCGTCGTGGCCGTCGTAGTCGTCGTCGTCGTCGTCGTCGTCGTCGTCGTCGTCGTCGTCGTCGTCGTCGTCGTCGTCGTCGTCGTCGTCGTCGTCGTGGTCATCGTCACCTTCATCTTCATCTTCATCCTTATCGTCGTCGTCGACGTCGGCGTCCTCGTCGTTGTCGTCGTCCCCTGGCCTGCTCGTGCCGGGGAACAGCATATGACTGAAGGTGCTTGGCAGTTTTTGGCCTTTGCGGGCCCTTGCTGGGCCCTGGGGCGGTCAAGCAAAAGCTTAGGCCCTGGGAAGGGATAGAAATCTGGCGGGCTAGGTTCGGCCACGCGCAGAGGGGGGTAGGGGGAGGGGGGAAGGCTTCAGCACCCCTGGCTCTTCTAAGGCGCGGGCCTTGTCTGTAGATGTATGGCCCGCGCCTTCCTAGAGGCAGCCTGCTTCTAAGAAGCCCTTCCCCCTCCCCCTATCCCCTTGTGAGTGCCGTCAACATGTTGTGAACAAACCACGGCGTCGGCTGTCTGGCCGTCCCTCCCCAAGCAGGGAGACGTAGGCCTTCGCCTTCCAACTCGTTCAGGGCACTGGGCACTCTGTTCGGACTTTTGCTTCCGCGTGCAGACAGTCTCGCCCCGTCAGTTCTCCGCCAGGGCTCGAGCTAAACGGTGTTCTTGCGATGTCGTGGACCGTTTTCGTTTTGATTTCGTTTCGCAGCAAAGGCAAAACGAAGACAGAACGAATGACACCGAAAACGAAACGACAGCGAAAATCACTGTTTAGCTCGAGTCCTGTTCTCCGCTGCTGATCTGCTCGTTCTGCCTTCTCGTCCTCGCTTTCTTGCGCCTTCCCATTCGCTCTTTCCTAGCGTTACGTGTCTCTCCGCTGCCTCCTGCTTGCCGTTTGATGTCTTCCCTGGTTTTTCCCCTTCCTCCTGTGGCGTCTGCGTTCTTGGCGACGTCTCGTGCGACGCTCCCGTCTTGCCCGGCGCTCTTCAGTCTCACGTCGTGCAGCCAGCTGTGTTGCCGGTTGGTTGCCTTGTCCTGCTCCCCTTTCCTCCTTCTGCTCCACCTCTCTTAACCCTCCCTCTCTCCCCTCCCGACCCGTCCAGCCGCTAGACCCGTTCCTCTTCTGCCCCCCCCGCGCGCCTCTCACGATAATGCATGATGACGATGCAACGACGACGATAGAACGATGACGATGGAATATTGACGACGACGGTGATGATGACGGTGATGATGATGATAATGGTGACGACGATGATGATGATGGTGATGGTAGTACTAATAAAACAATAACAGCAATATTTATACGAATCGTAACAGTAATGCTAGTATAAATAGTCATGATAGCACTAAGAATGATAACAACAATCGGATTTGCAATAATAATCATAGTCGCCAATATAATCTTATCGCGAATGTCAATGATAATGACGATGTTGCTGATGGTGATGATGATAATGATGATGACGATGCTGATGATGATGATGATGATGATGATGATGCTGACGCTGACACTGATTCTGATGCTGATGCTGATGCTGATGAAGATTAACTGATGACGATCTTGATGATGATGATGATGATGATAATGGTTACGATGATGATGATGAGGATGATGATGATGATGATGATGAGGATGATGATGATGATGATGCTGATGCTGCTGATGATGATGCTGATGATGATGATGATGATGCTGATTATGATGATGATGATGATGATGATGATGATGATGATGATGATGATGATGATGATGATGATGATGATGATGATGCCGCTGATGATGATGCTGATGAGGTTTATTGAAAAGGAAGAAGTTGGAGGTTGAGGAGGAGGAGGAGGAGGAGGAGGAGGAGGTGGAGGAGGCGATGAAGATGTCGCCACGGATATCTCGACCCCCATAGGTTCCCCGCGGGGGCCCCCAGAGGCCTCTCAAGAAGTCCCCGGCGGGCCAGAGATCATCGTAAGCGGGGAACCCAGATCTCCGACGATCTGCTTTCTTCCGTTGGCGTTATCTTTTTTGATTTCGATCTCTGAGGATTGCTGTCGGGCCCCCGGGCTATCAAACATGGATCTGGGACGGGCAGCCACCCGGATGGAACAAGAAACATGGCGGCGGACCCCATGGAGAACTACAGTGCGTTGTCTCGCGGATGCCCCGCCCAGGGCGTATCCGTGCGATGTCGCATCCACGGGATCGCGCCCGGGAGTCCACACGGCGAGGGCGCCGGTGTGGACACGGGTGCCGCTCGTGGGAGCAGGGCCCGGAGAGGCCAGGACCTTGCAGAGTCGGGAGCCTTGAGACGGTGGTCAGTGCAAACGGGGGTCAGCCAGAGCGCCAGATTTTGCAGGATCCTGCAGGGACAGGGGCGCACTGACCCGGGTTTGGGTGCCGGATCCTGCAGGATCTTGCAGGATCCTTCGCGTTGACCTGGGTTTGGGTGCAGGATCTTACAGGATTCTGCAAGGCCTGCCTGACCCGGGCTTGGATTGACCCGGGTCAGAAGATCCCCGACAGAGCCAGGACCTTCCTGCCAGACCCAGCCAGACGGATTCGACGCGGATCCGACGAGGCCGACATGGATTCGACACGGATTCGACACGGATAGGGCCGCGACAGGGCAGACAAGGCCCCCCGAGGATGTAACATAAGGGCCCGGAGAGGCCAGGACCCTGCCGAGCCAGGGCCTTCCTGCCAGACCCCGCCTGTGGTGGAGCTTGGTCTCGGTCCACGGCCGCAGGCGCCTCGGGCGTGCCAGCGCTCGGGCTTTCACACCAGAGCCTCCGCTCACGGGGCCCTGAGAGCGGGTCCGCGCTCCCCCCTCCCCCCCCCCAGCAAGGACCGCCCCAAAGCACCCAACGGACCTCCCCCCCCCCCCTCGGCCCTCTCGTTTCGGACGAACGGGGGGGGATTGGGAAAGGGGGGGTCTCCGAAGTCTGCTGCGTTCTCCCCCCAACAGGCCGCCTCAAAACACCCAACGGACCTCCTCCATCCACCCCCTTCGGCCTTCTCGTTTCGGACGAAAGGGGGAGGGGGCATTGGGAAAGGGCGGGGCTCCGAAGCTTGCTGCATGCAGCTGGCTTCGGCCCCGCTGCCGCAGGCTTTCCCCTGACATGTGGCCGCCTCTGGCGCCGAGCGGCGCCCGGAAGGCAAGCCACGTGATGAGCTCATTCGCCCCGGTGGGGGCATTGGTCACTTCAGGCATGTGCCCAGGAGGCGTCAGACCATGGAGGATCCCTTCTCTGCTTAGGGCGGCGGTGACATCCATGGCCAAGCCTCGATTGGTGCTCCTGGGGGATTCCCTATCCAATGGCTCCTTGCCCGATGCCCTCACCGTGCGTGATGGGCTGATTTCGCCAACCTCTCGTATCAGTAGCCTTCACGAGCTACGAGGCGAATGGTAATGTAACTTCTCTTCACGATCGGTCCTATCCTATCCTATCCGCACACGGTGCGCCGGCCGGCGTGCCCGCCGACATCCGGCGACCTCCCCCGCCGCCCCCTGGCCCTCTGGGGCCTCATGAGTGGCCTCCTCCTCCTCCTCCTTCTCCTCCTCCTCCTCCTCCTCCTCCTCCCTTTCCTCTTCTCCTTCCTCCTCCTCCTCCTCCTCTTCCTCCTCCTCCTCCTCCTTCTCCTCCTCCTCCCTCCTCCTCCTCCTCCTCCTCCTCCTCCTCCTCCTCCTCCTCCTCCTCCTCCTCCTCCTCCTCCTCCTCCTCCTCCTCCTCCTCCCCCTCCTCTCTCCTCTGCCTTCCTCCTCCCCCCCTGGCCCTCAGGGTTGGCGTCGGCTGCGGGTTTGAGGTGGCTCAGAACCAAGGGGGCCCTCGAGGGCGCGAAGTTGTTCGCGCTTCGCGGTTCGGCTCCTTGTGCTCTTCATCCTCCTCTTCTCCCCTGGTGGGCGGCGCGAGAGCGCGAAGTTGTTGTCTCTTCGCGCAACGCGCAGCACGAAGCGAAGTTAGGCGCCCTTGAGCACTGGTTCAGGGGGGGCGAGGTTTCGAGGGGCTGGGTTCGAACAGGTGTTTTGGTTGTTGTTGTTGTTGTTGCTGTTGTTGGTGCTGTTGTTGTTATTGTTGTTGTTACTGTCGTTGTTGTTGTTGTCGTTGTTGTTGCTGTTGTGTTTGCTGCTGCTGTTGCTGTATTGCTGTTGTGTTCGTTGTTGCTGTTGCTGTTGCTGTTGCTGTTGCTGTTGCTGTTGCTGTTGCTGCTGTTGTTGTTGTTGTTGGTGGTGGTTGGTTGTTGGTTGTTGGTTGTTGGCTGTTGGTTTTGGTTGTTGGTTGTTGGTTGTTTGTTGTTGTTGTTGTTGTTGCTGGTGTTGTTGTTGTTGTTGTTGTTGTTGTTGTTGTTGGTGTTGTTGCTGTTGCTGTTGCTGTTGCTGTTGCTGTTGCTGTTGCTGTTGCTGTTGTTGTTGCTGCTGTTGCTGTTGCTGTTGCTGTTGCTGTTGCTGCTGCTGCTGCTGCTGCCGCTGCCGCCTTTTTCGGTGTCCTGGGGCTGTTTTTCGAGCCCCGGAACAGTCGAAACGGGCCCGGGGTGAACAAAAAACACCAGTCGGACGTTGGGGGGAGTCCGGCCCCGATTTTGAAAGGACTTGCCTTCATCCCCCCCTCTTGATCAATTGTCTCGGGGCCCAGCCAGCTCGGACTCTCTGGCCGTCTCCAAGGGGGGATAGAGTCACGGTGGGACGCATCGACCCCCAAGCACTCATCCATCGCAGGCAGGGGCCCGATGGCCTACCACGCCCAGGAGCGCGCGGATGCATCGCCGAACTGTCGGCGATTCCATCGTTGGCTCGGGGGCCTATCGGGTGGCCGATTCCATCGACGTTCGCTGTCGGGGGCCCATCGCCGATCTATCGGCGATGTGCCGCCGATTCCAGCTCGATGTCCCCCCCCCCACCAAGCTGGAAGCCGCCGCGCGCGCGCAGGCGTCGGCTCGCCTCCCGCCAGGGCCGCCTTCCGCGTGCGGGTGCCGAAGCAGTACCCGGGAGAACCCGCCCCGCCTCCGCGGCCTGCGCCGTGCGCCCTCCGCGGCCCCGGGGGGGTATTTTTTTCCGATCCGATCGATCCGAATCGACACCGATTTCGGCCGGCCCGATCCGATTCGGTACCGATATGGCCGTCCACTATGTTCGCACCACAAGGGTTTTGTGTCGGAGCGGCGGTCACGGCCGACACGGGGTCACGCCCGCCCCGTTGGGCTCCCGAGGTCTCCCCCGAGGGCTCCCGAGCGAGCTCACACAGCACCATATATCCGCCAGCATGCCGCGAACCGGCAACACCACAACTTGGGCACGGCCATATCCCTGCGGTCCGATGCAGCCCAGTGCTTGCACGGCGCGGCCAATTCGATCCGATTCGACCTCGGTTCGATGCACGCAGCGATCTGGTTCGCTCTCCGTGCCTGGTGCTGGCCGATCCTGCCGATCCCGCCCCAGTCCCTGAAGCTTTGAGGGTGTGTGTGTGTGTGGGCAGATCCCTCCGAGATCGAAGCCCCCCGTTTCCCCTCCTCGACCTCTTCCTCGTCCTCCTCCTGGCCTCGTCGACCTCGAGAAGTTGGAGCAAGCCCGGCGCTGGCACGCGGACCCCGAGGGTGGCTTCCTCGCACGGCCTCGGAGGGAGTGCGAGAGCGCCGCGCAGGAGAGGCGGCGCGGCCGAGAACGTGCGGGGCCGCGGGGCGGCCGCGGCGGGGTCCGACTCTCTCTTTCTCGTTTCTCTTCCCCTCGATGGGCGTCCTCTCCTCCTCCTCCTCCTCCTCCTCCTCCTCCTCCTCCTCCTCCTCCTCTCACGAGGCGTGGGCTTCTCCTCCTCCTCCTCTCAGGAGGGAAAGAAACACACAGACACAATGAATCGTCGATTCCCCAGAAGATGTGGGAAAACATGGGAAGTGGGGGGGGGAAGACAACAGCCCAGAAAATATAGGAACATATGGGGAATCTTTTTATTTGTGTGTATTTATTTGTGTGCTCTGGGGCCCCTTCATCCTCCTCCTCCTTACCCTACTTCTAGCGGGGACCGCTGGCAAGGTCACCGGCCAGGAGAGTCACGCCGCTCAGAGTTCTCGCACGCCGGTTCCGGGCTGTCGAAGGCGATGGCTTCTATCAGACCCTGAACTCCACGAGCCCGATCCCGATTCCGATTCCCCCGCTCCTCCCCCTCCGGGTTCCTGGCTCCTGATGGCTGAAGGGGTCCTCGATCGCAGCCAACCCAGTCCTGCGCCGCACGGCTGGTGTGTAAAGTGGCGCCACTTACCGAAAAGGGGGCTACCCCAGGAGGTGGGAGAGAACGAGACAGTGGAGGACACGGGAGGACACCAGCAGAGGAGGAGGAGGGGTAGAGGAGAAGGGGAAGGGCAGCAGGCACGACGAGGAGGAGAGGAAGAGGGAGGGGGAGGTCCCGACAAACCAGGGAGCCCCCCCAAGCGCCCCCCCCAAAAGAGGCGGGCAGTTTTCCTACAAGAGATACCGAATCCGACGGTAAGGTCCCTACAAGGGCGGCGCACCAGAGAGGGGGGCGCTGGGGGGGATTCCCCGGAGAGTGGGGCCTCGATAGCTAGTCGCTGAGAAGTCCCCGTTGCCTTGCTCCTCATCCGCGCTCCTCCCCTTTCCCCCCCCCCTGCTTGTTTACCCACCCAGTATACAATGACCCTCACCGAGGGTAAGCTCTGAGCTGCAGGTGTTCACAGTGTGAGCTCGCTGCAGACATAGCTAACACTGAGACCAACGGCGGCAAGTCTTGGGCTGCTACCCAGGGTGTGCGGTTGCTCATCCCAAACCTCCTTGGCCACGGGACCACAGTGCTTTTTGCTACTCCTTCTCGGGTTGAGCACGACTCCATTTGGCCACTGACGGCATGCCTGAAACTTGGCTCGGGCGGTCAACACGCTCGCAGCGGTCGACTCGCACACACACTTCTCCGCCACGAACAGAGGAGGAGTACCGCCACCGCCTCCCATGAGCCCTCTCCGAGGGACATGGCGAAGGGGCAAATGTTGCGATGCGCCTTACCCTCAACGAGGGTATTTTTCTTAAACTGGTCCATTACTGAGGGTACAACTGAACACAGAGAAAACATAGTATTTGGTGCTTTCATGTGAAAGCGTGGCACTGGGTACGCGAACGGTGTGGGATTCATGACGTGCACTGGTGGCACGTTGGCTATGCGGTCCTGCTCTGAGCTGCTGCCGCACGCAAGTCAGAGACACACTCCAACCTCTCGTCCAACCTTCATCCTCAATCCAAACTGTCCCCGCCCTGCTTCTCGGGAACCAGGGCTGATGGTAGAAAGACGAGGCCTCCCGTACACGCATCGTCTCGGGCGCCGTTGCGCTGGAACATTCATCAAAGCATCAACGTGCTCGGTCCGCAGCAGGTTGCAACGACAGCAACCGAGCGACAACAGTGAATGCCACCTCCTCCTCCCCACATCTAATGCCAATCGTACAGTTGCTGAAGGAGGTGGCCTCCCACACATGCAAAACAGCTGAGGGATGCCGACTCCATAGCGTGTCTTGGTGGTCACGTGCCTCAAGGGACAACCACCACCACGCGAAAGGAACATGGAGGCGGAGTGGACCGAGGAGCGGGTCTATTCTCAGCCGCTGTTCGTCTCGGGCGCCGCTGCGCTGGAGCATTCATCACTACATCAACGTGCTCGGCCCGCAACAGGTTGCAAAGGAAGCACAAGAGCGACCGCAGTGAATGCCATCTCCTCCACCCCTCATCCTACATACATCCTCCACTCGATGTCGCGGGCATGAATAGGGGGCCACATGCGAACCCTACCCCTACCCCCCACGATTTCTGAGGGGGAGGGGTAGGGTTCGCATGTGGCTCTCTAGTGAAGACGACTGGAGGCACAAAGAACCAGCCGATCGTACGCGCATCGTCTCGAGCGTCGCTGCTCTGGAACATGTCCCACAACATCAAGATGCTCGTTCCATAGCGGGTTGCAGAGGAAACATTTGAGCGCTCGCAATGGCGCCGTCTACTCCCGCTCCGCCCATCTGTCCTCACACAGCACGCCCCAACCCGGCCCAAGAGGTACAAGTGGAGAGAGGAGGGAGGAGGATGCGGACACCAACATCAAGTTTATTGAACAGTGTGGAATGCTATGCGTCAGGCTTCCATGCTTTAGACATGCCAGTGAATGTCAGCCCCTTGGGTTTGTGATACGCACTTACCCAAAGTGATGCAACACTGCTTCGCCATGTTCCTCCAGGCGAGTGATGCCTTCACGTGGTCATCAACATATTGCACATACGTGTCGCTCTCGTTAACACTACATCGTAATCGCCTCGCGATGTATGGGCTTGGTGCAGTTTGGTTGTCCGTGTATATACTCGATGCTCGCATCCGTGGGCGATGCAAGGTGTTTGTATTTCTATATGTATGTTTGTATGTATGTATGCATGTATGTATGCATGCATGTATGTATGCATGCATGCATGCATGCATGCATGTATGTATGTGTGTGTGTGTGTACGTGTGTAGTGTGTATATATATATATATATATAGATGGTCACCCCTGTGTTTATGCGTATTGTCGTCGCATGTTTTTTTCTCAATGTTCTCTCGTTATCTCTCTCTGTTTGTCACTTTCTCTCTCTCTCTCTCCTTCCCTCCTCCTCCTCCTCCTCCTCCATCTCCTCTCTCTCGCTGTCTCTCTCCTCTCTCTCATATTAAAGGAACGCTGTGTTTTCTAACTGTTCCAGCTTTGGCAACTTTCCCCACAGAGAAACCATTGACGCTCGCTGTCTTTTCTAGCTTTTCTAGGTTTTTCCAGCTTTTCCAGAGACTCTGGACAACGCTGTGCTTTCCAGCTTTTCCAGCTTTTCCAGCTCTTCCCAGGCCGCATTTTAAAACGCTGTGTTCTCTAGCATGTCATGCTGTCCAGTTTTTTCCAACAGGTTACCACATTGGACAGCACGGTGTTTCAAGCTCTCCCAGCTTTTCCAGCTATTCCCAGAGACTACCTCATTGGACAATGCTGTGCCTTCCAGCTTTTCAAGCTTCTCTCACTTCTCCAACATATTATCCTGCTGCGTAGTCTCTGGGAAAAGGCTAGGAAAGCGGGAGAAGCTGGAAGCACTGTGTTTTTCAATCGGGGTAGTCTCTGGGAAAAGTTGGAGAAGCTGGAAGACACAACGTTTTTCAATGTGGTAGTCTCTGGGGAAAGTTGGAAAAAGCGGGAGAAGTTGGAAACATTTGCATTTTTCAAATGTTTCGTTTTGGGAAAAGTTGGAAAAGCTGGAAGCACAGCGTGCTTCAATTGTTTCTTTGTGGGGAAAGCTGGAAAAGCTGCAAAACAGAACGCCTTTCAATGCCATCCCCTGCCCGTGCACCCCTTGTTTGCTCGTCGGGGGACGTTTTGCGCTCGCAAGTCAGGTAGCTGCAACGGGACAGCAATGGCCGCGTGCTGGCGGAGTGGCACCCCTCTCAGCGGCCTCCAGCCGCGAACGCAGATGCCGCATATACATCGCAGTCTACAGCGCCAGCCATCACAAGTGCTCTCGCGTCGGCGGGCCAGCGTTTGAGCTCGCCGCGGCGGTGCCCGCCACCCCGTCCTCGTCGAGCATCTGCGGCAGCTCCTCATCGAGGGGCGCGCGCCTCTTTTTGGGGGCCGGCGTGCTCAAATCGATGGCGCCGTTCCCTGCTGAATTCTTAAAGCGGAAGCGGAAAGCCCCTGGCTCTCGCTTGATGGACACCAAAGCCGCGGGAGGCGCAGGCGTTGCAGCCGCTGCAGGAGGGCCGCTGTCGCCGTCCATCCCGCCGCCGAGACCGAATGCGTCTGCGCCTTCATCTGGGTCGGCGGCGGCGCTCATCCCACTGCAGTGGCCGAAGACGTCGTCATCGTCACCTGGGTTAACTGGAGGGGCGGGCGCGGGCTGGCGACGCCCATTTCGCCGCCCATCTCAGGGAAGCTGTACCCAACCTTGGAGGCGCGTTCTTGTTGAAGAGCGCGGGGCCGTGGACCGTCGACGAGCGCCCAACGGGCACGCTTTTTCATGGCGACCACGGCCCACGTCATGTTCATGTCGTAGTCGGGCGGCGCGAAGGTCTCGTTTATTTGAAACGCCTCAGGATGGGGTGGTCTCGGGCGTGAAGAGGTCTGGCTTCTCGGGTCCTGGCGAAGGGGAGCGGGGAACTGGGTCCTTAGTCGTCTGCGCCAGCCGCAAGAAGATCTAGCCCTCAGTGGGGCGCACGATGTTGGACCTCGCCAGATACGCCTGCACGTCCGCCATCTGGCAGCCTCTCTGCTTGCCGCCAACGAAATTGCAATCGATTGTTCTGAGGAGGTCTTAGAATGCGATCTCTTCCTTGCCTCTGCGGACGGAACGGACCAACTACTCGAACTCCTCAGTGTACGGGTTAACGCGGATCTGGCGGGACTGATTTGCTCGAAGGAGGCGCCGCCCCGCCTATGCAATGCGCGGACAACGTCTCGCGTCAACTTTTACATGCAAAAATTGGTTGTCGGTTTTGTGTGCTGCGTGGTTTCTGTTTGATGTCACGCGCTGTTCGCGCCCTGTCCGCGCCCTGCCGCCTCGCCCGCAGCAGCGCGTCCTCCTCGGCGGGGTCGAGGAAGGCCTTGATCGCGTCGGCGGCCCACTTCGCGCGGGCGGCGTCGCCCGCGATGGCGGGCATGAGCTCGGCCCCAGGTTCGAACCGCAAGGGGTCGATCTTCCCCGTCGCGACGACGCTCGGGCGGAGGTCGGCGCGGCCGTTCTTATCAGTCTGGTAGGCTCTGAGACAGCGAAGCCGACGGTTTTCGACGCCGGAGATTTGCCGACCCTGGCCTTGCCGATCCACGTGGCCACGCGCGCATCGCGGCTCGTGAGAACGGGGGCGACGACGTTGTCGGACGCGAACGGGTGGAAGCGCATCAGCGCGATCGCCCAGCGCTCGAGTGTCTTCGCGCCACCAGAGCCCGAGGCGCCGATGCGGGGCGACTCCCCGCCTGCCAGCCAGAGGCCTGCGAGCTCTCGCTGTTGATCTGCTCGTCGGCCCATTTCGCGAATTGATTGTTTGCTTTGCCTTTGGGCCGAACTCCCCATGAAACGGAACCCCGCCTTCCGCATTTCCCTTGTCGCAAGCGCCCCCCCGGTGGCTGCGACCGCGGGCGGCTGGGCCTGCTGTCGGGTCTGCGCCCCGCCCAACCTCTCCATCGTGTACTAGAAAAGCTTGAGTGGCGTGTTATTGTCGGCCGAGCTCCCCCAGCGGGCGGCGAGCGCCCTGCCCTTGACGAAGATCTCCTTGGCGATGTCGGTCCGAACCTGGTTCTCGAGCCTGACGTACTCCAGCGCGAACTGCTGGCCGTTGCCCTCCTTCGGCAATGTGTAGAGCTGCGTGGTAAAAGCGATTTCGCCAGGGTCCTTGTTTGGCTTGGGCGGCTCAGGCAGCGCCATGTAGTTGCCCCCGCACGCGGCGACATGCGCTTCGACGGTGTCCAAGTGGTCCACGGCGCCGACCCCGAGTTGACCCAGTCCACCAAGTGCTTGAGGTTCAAAACATGGTCCGCGCATTGGGGCGACATGTCGCGGAGGCGGAACGCCGCGGCTGGGTCTGACAGGAAACTTTATGGTTTGTCCCGCTTCTGGTTGGACTGCGCCGCCGCCATGTGCAGCCGCGCGCTCTTGATCTGATCGGTGCAGGTTGCGTCGCCGCTGGCGAGCTCCCCCATCGACTTGGCGCCGCCAGCCGTGGGGCTCGCCGCGGCAAAGAGCGGGCGCAAACAGCAGCTTGGAGCGACAGCCCGACGGAGGGGGCGGCGCGACGGCGGTCGCTCGAACCTGAAACGCATCGGAACGGCGCCTCTCCCCGTGGCCGCAGCCGCGATTGCCGCGCGCGACCCGCGCGCCCCCCCCGTCCCTGGCGCGGTGGGAAATCGTTCGCGCGGGCTAAATAGATCCGGCGGGGCAGCGGCGGCCGCTGGGTGCCCCCCGCGGCGGAATGACCCCCTCTCAGCGGCCTCCAGCCGCAAGTGCAAATCCCGCATGCACATCGCATTTGCGAGCGCGAGCCATTTCAAGTGCTCCCGCGGCGGCGCAGCTCGGAGTGTCGAGCCCATCAGGTCGCGCGCCATCGCGCCCGCGGTCGCCCGTTGGTCCTGCCCGCGGTTCCGGTTCCCCCGCTGCGCGGGGCGGACGCGCGCGCGCGCGCGCCGCAATCGCCATGTTGTGGAGTTTATAGGTTCGAGGGCCGATGTGCCTCTTGACGCGTTCCCGCGCCCTGCCTATGATCCGCGCGCCCGCCTTCACTTTTCACGCCGTGCCGCATGGGGGCGCGTGCTTCGTGACTTTAGAGTGCGCGGGCTTGGCCTGCGCCCAATTCCCCTGCGCTTCGCGCGCTTCTTGCAGTGCGTCTCGGAGTCGTGGAAGTTCCCTGCGGCCTTCATCTTGTATCTCCTGATGCCGTCAGCATGGAGAATCACCTTGCGGTCCTTGAGGCAGTTCAGGAGGAAGGGCGCCCTGTCGGTCTTCTCCGTGGCGCCTGGGCCGGGCGCCCGCAGCGCCGTGCGATCCGACTCAGCCCAGGACAGCGCCAGCGTTTCTGGCTTGCCCCGCTGCACGAATCCTGCCCACTGCCCCCGCTCTTTCATCTATTTGTCCTCCGCGGTCGCGGAAGCGAAGACGGACTCGTCGGCCTCGATGTCCACCCGCGTCTTGTCGTCGCGCTGCACGATGTTCTTCTCGCACTCCTCCACGTCCTGCTTGCGCGCCAGGTCCAGGTTGTCTGTCGTGCCCTCGATCATCTTGTGATTGGCGCCGTATTGCTGGTGGAGCTGCGCGGTCGTCATTCCCCGTCATTCCCGTGATGTGGCCGAAGAGGACCTTCGTCTTGTCGTTTAAGGACGACGTCTCCTTTCCCCAGCCGCTGGCGAACATGGGATTGCAATCGGCGGGGCGCACCTGCTTGCCGCATTTCCTCCCGTCGTTGCACCGCCACGCGCAGCCAGGGCCGCCCTCCCACTTCCTGGTGTGTCGGTCGCCGAGGGTGCCCTTGCCGCAAAATGGGCACGTCAACCCTGCCCAATCAATAAGGATCCCGTTTTCGATCAGGAGGTCCACGAGCTCGTTCTCGTTTTCCGTGCTGAAGGCGTCGATGTTGCGGCGCCATGTCTCGCGCTCCTTCCGTGTCTTCTTCGTGCCGCCGGTGCTGCGAACGTACGGGGCCTTGCCTGTCTGCTTCCCACTTCCCCCTCTTGCCTTGCGCGCGGTCTCTTGACCTCCGGCCCACCTGAAGGCCTCCGGCAGCCCAAGAACGGCGGCGAGCCCGTGGGGGAAGTGAGAAGGGGCGGGCGTCTTCAGAAGGGTCGGAAGCCCCTTGGCCTGAGAAGTTTTCTAAGCCTTCCCCGGAGACGCAGAAAACTTGCCAGAAGGCGCGAAGGCTTCTGAGAAGTCCCGCCGCCTTCTCAGAAGGGCTTCTCCTTCTCATTTCCCCCCTCGCTCGCCACCGACAAGAGGGGTTTACTTCCTTCAAACAGCGATCTCCGACGAGGTGTGTTTTTCAATTTGGGTGTTTTTTCCTGGATTTCGGCCCTCTGGGGCCCGTGATCGGGCCTGGGGGCAATGAAATTTGGACCCATGGCGACAACTACCCGTGGGGAAGGGGTCTGAAGTGGGCCGCGGATTGAAAACTCATGTCGGTGGATGTTAGGAAAGTCCTTCCCAACAACCTCGCTCCTCGAAGAAGCTTTAGAAAGCTCCCAAGAGAGAGGCCACCTAAAACGCACTTCCAAATACCCCCATCGATGTCCGAGGGTCGAGGCCAAAACTCAGCAGGGCGCGACCCATCTGTGATTCAAATGGTCCAGCTCCCAGGAGTCCAGTTCCGGAAGTCCAAGAACCTGGATGACCGGTACGAGCGCTACGCCCGCGACGGCGTATGCGTGACGGGCCGTGTCGAGGACTCCTGCCCAGTGGAGGAGAGGATCAGAGGACGAGAGGAGGACGAGGAGGAGTAGGAGGAGGAGGAGGCGGAGGAAGAGGAGGAGGAGTAGGAAGAGGAGGAAGAGGAGCAGGAGGAGGAACAACAGAGGATGAGAGGAGGAATAGGAAGAGGGGGTAAGGATGATAATCAGGAGGAGGAGGAAGAAGAGGAGGAGGAGGAGAACAAGCTGTCTCCGCTGTCCCGCATCCTGTCCGTGAGCAGACGGAAGACCGCGGGGGGACCCGGTTGAGGTCGGAGGGACGATCCAAGAGGAGACATCTTGGGAGGAGGGGGGGGGGGGTCGGGGAGGAGGAATGATCGGCGGCGCGCCTGGGGGAGAAGTGAGACGGAGTCGGCCTTGGACAGAAGGCGGCGGGGCTTCTCAGATGGCCTCGGGCCTTCTGAGGGTTTGCTGTGTCGTGCGGGAAGGCTTAGAGAACTTCTCGGAACGCCAGGGGTCTTCCGAGCCTTCTGAAAGGGCCCGCCCCTTCTCCTTCCCCCCCCTGGCTCGCCGCCGAAAGGAGGACGGACGAGAGAGAATCGGGTCAGTCATTGGATGGGTCGAGGGTAGCAGGCTGCCGGTAGTCTGGTGCACGTCTTGCGGAGGATTCAGCATGCGTTAGCGGTCTTCATCCAGCCCCTCGCCACCCCACCTCCGAGTTAAGCAAGCTGCGGAGGGGAGCGGTGACTGGCACCCAACTCACGTTTGGGAAGGCGCCCCCGTCGTCTTTCTGAGGGCGACAGTTGATGTCAGCATGAATGTGTATGTATATCTTTCCCCAAACAGGTGCCTGCACTTAGGGGTTCTTACTTGCGTTAACCATCTCGGGACCCTCCCCGCAAAATCGCTGCCGTGCCGCCCGTCGCCGCCTGTCGCCGTCGCCGCCCGTCGCCGCCATCCCCGGCCGTCGCCGCCCGTGCCGCCCGTCGCCGCCCGTCGCCGTCGCTGCCCGTCGCCGCCATCCCCGCCCGTCGCCGCCCGTCGCCGCCCGTCGCCGTTCGTTGCCGTCGCCGCATCGCATACATTGCAACGCATAGATTGCATTACATAGGTTGCATCGCATACGTTGCACCACACATATCGCACCGCGTAGACTGTATCTGTATTGCATAGGTTGCATCGCATACATTGCACCACGTAGGTTGCACCGCAGAGATTGCATTAACATAGGTTGGACCGCATACGTTGCACCACTCGTATATTGCGTTACATAAGATGCATCGCATCCGTTCTCCTTTCTAGAAAGAGAATGATAGACTCTACCCCCTGGGGATTATCAATCCTCTTTTCGTAATGCAACTCACATCTGATTCTGCCTCATCGTCCATCGTAAATATGAACTCGTACCATCCCAGCCTAGTCGGTATCCGTCCCCCCCGCCGCCATCCCTTGCAAAAAGTTCTATGCGCGCGCACTCGTTCATAAACAATCATAAGTGTTCGAGAGCCCCTTGCAACATATCAGGCGAAGTGCACACGCGCGCGCATCGTCGTGCGCGCATGCCGAAATCCTAAAAAACCGGTTGGTTTCGTAAGGGTTTCAAAATCGAGTCCGTCGCGAGAACCCTTTGCAACAGACAGGACGAAGTGCACGCGCGCGCGTCGTCGCGCGCATAACGAACTCCGTCGAAAACCTTACTCTTCGCAGCGATTTCAACACCGAGTGTTCAAACGACATACAATCACACACGGTTTCGCTACATCATCGACTAGACGTAATAGTGACCTTTCGCCGGAGTGACCTTTGGTGTGGGCACAGATGGGTCCCCAGATGGCTGAAAACGGAGCAGGAGCAGCGGCTTGCGCGCCCAGGTTTGGTCCCCCCGCGGCCCCCCAAAAAAACCGCGCACCAAAGGTCACTCTTACCAAGGGTCACCCTTGCGTGTCGCCGACATCAGCTTTCAAAACGCGTGCGCTTGCGCTCTTGCAAATTCTTGAGTAAACATTTTTTCAACATGTTCGTGGAGTTCTGCCAAGCGGGCCTCTTGCGCCGCATGCCGACATCATTCGCGCGCCCTTGCGCGCGTGCTTGGGGGCACGATCCGTGTATTAGCATGCGGACACTCGCGCATCGGCCGCGAGCGCATGTCGAACTCTTTCCAAACCTGTCATCACCGACGCGAGGACGCCGTCATCGTCGTCGCCGTGATCAGCATCGGCGCCCACACAGGCCGCGCTTTCGTCGTCGTCAACACCGCCACCAACATCGCTATTATCGTCATCGTGTCTACCATTATCGACGCTGCCATGATACCGCGCCCGCCCAAGTCGCCGACTCGCAGTGACATGCCCGCTGGGATGTGCCCTGCGGTCAGCTCCGCTGCGGCCGCGTCGGTCGCGCCAAACTAGTTGGCCGCTGCGCGCGCGTGCTTGGGTTGGCGCGGCCGCAGAGATGCACCAGCCAACGCCAAGCATGCAGCACAACCGCCACCGCATGGGTTTTGCAAACCGAGTTGCGGGTGGGTGGGTTGGATGTTGGCAAGAGCACGGGATGCGGCAAGCCGCTTGTAAACATCAAGTGCGCCACATCTATTGCACTGCGTAGGCTGCATTACATCGGTTGCGTCGCATAAAGTGCGCCACATAGACTGCACCGCATGGATTGCATTACGTAGGTTGCATTGCATAGGTTGCATCTC